TGACAGCTATACTTCCAAAATGGCTGACAATCTTAGAATGGAAGGGACTTACTTTTCAAAAAATGGCTGATGATATTGATGATTACACTGAAAATTCTCCATACTGTCCTCCAAGGAGTCCTCTAATTTTGAAGCCAAGCAGCAACAAATTACAATGTACATTCTGCTCTCAAGTGTTGCTGACTTCTATAATATTCCTAGGCAGAATTCAATATTACCCACTCACATAGAAGTAAGGGTGAAAAATGCTTGGAAGAGAGAAGGGAGATATTTTCCTTGATCAGAACCTGAAAACATCATTGTTCATGAATGTTGTGGCAGAAAAAATTATATAATCTGCCTTTTAGGGCATCCGGATATTTTCCTACAAATACAGATCAAAATGCCCTAAAAGGAGAAGTTGTTTTAAACTTATGATACAGAAGTTACACAGGTTGGTCAAAGAGTTCTAGATATTGGGTCACCTCACTTGTCATGAGATCCCTGCCATGATTTACTGTAACAACCTCAAACAAGTTCATTTCCTCAATAGACATTTCCTGAGTGACTATATATCAAACATTATACTGCATAATAGGGATATAGAGATAAAAAGTACATATAGTCAACGTCTTTCTAGAACCTACATTCTAGTGTAAAGTCGGCAACTGGGTGGTTTCTGACCAAACTCATTTTCCTTTCACTCTAGGCATAAAGATAGGCCAAATTTCCGAACCTCCACATAATGGCATTCTAGCCAGCCAAATGTGAGCAAAAGTGAGGTATGCCATATCCAGACCTAGATATGGATTACTATGGAAAAGCTACATCTAGGTTATTGACTTTCTGTCTTTATGCCCTTATTTGACAGCTGCAGGCAGAGTCCTCTGAAATCTCAGAGGTGATGGAACCACAGACGGAAAGACGCAGAAGGCCACTTGATGAATACCCCTTTGGAACTATGATGTGAACAAGAAGGACACACCTTTTGAGTTAAATGACTGAGACTGGAAGTTGTTTGTTACAATAGTTAGTCTATCCTACCAAAGTAGAAACAAAAACTAATTCTGAGACATTTGATAACAAAGTGTGCACAAGATGATATAAGAATACCAAAAAGAGATAGCTCCCTTGGGCACAACAGTATACCCAAGAGACTTCCCCAGAAGAAGAAACACTTACAATGAATCTTGAAGGATGTGACAGTGGGAAAGGGAATGGAGGACAGCAGCGGAGAAAGCACCTACCAAGTCATGCAATTCTGGAAATACGCTGGTTGTTCTGAACATTGAGAACATGGTTATGTGCAACATTCTAAGCAGCTGGGAAATGGGGCTGCTTAATATGCATTTGTTGAAATGATTAATGAAGAGTGGAATCTAAATGACTTATTATAATAATTACTAGAAATGATGGACAAGGGAAGAGGAAAAGTAATCAGGGACCATCCAACTTAGAAGGGAGAACAGATGGTATTATTGTCCTATGATAGAAAAAACATAGGAGAAAGAAGCAAAATTATGAGTTCCATTTTGAAAAAAATTAAAAGTGAGATAGCTATGGAAAATCCAGAAGAATCAATAGGCAACTAAACATAAGGGTCTAGCACTCACAGCAGTAGTATGTATAACCAAGGTGGAAATTGCCACAGTATCATGGTAGTTGAAGTCACAGACATAATGAGCTTGATTGGATAGATTATTCAGAGTCAGAGATATAGGGAAGAAGGAGAGAAAGAATCAAAAAGTGTGACACATAGGGTGGGGGGGGAGGAGAGAGAGAGAATAAAAGAAAAGGTCATGGAAGTCAAAGAGAATAAATATTGACAAAGTAATCAATAGTGGTGAGTACTTCAAAGTGACGAAGTGAGATGATGGCTTGAAAAGTGTCCATTAAATTTAACAGCTAGTATCTATTTGTGATCTTAACCAGTTCCTTTTCAGTATTAGAAAAAGTCAATAGCTAAGCCAAAAGCTAAAAGAGTCAGCAGAATGAATGAGATATGAGGAATTAGAAATAAGGAATACAGACGAGTGATCCCATCTCAGGTTGGGCAAGGGACTTGAAGAGAAATTTCTCCAAAGAAGAACGGTGCATGGCCTACAGATATATGAAAAAATGCTCACCATCCTTAATCATCAGAGAAATGCAAATAAAAACTACTCTGAGATATCATCTAACTCCAGTGAGATTAGCCCATATCACAAAATCCCAAAACCAGAGAT